TTTTATTATTTTTATTTTATGTGTATGAGTGTATTGCCTGCATGTATGTGAGTGCACCTGTGTCATGCAATGCCTCAGAAGTCAGAAGAGGGCTTTGGATTCCCCTGGAACTGGAGGTAAGGACAGTTCATAGCCGCCATGTGGGTGCTGGGAATTGAACCCAGGTCCTCTGCAAGTGCAGTCAGTGCTCTTAACTGCTGAGCCATTTCTCCAGCCCCAACTTTTACTTTTTATTTAAACAGTTTAAAAAATTCTCGTTCATGGAATTCAGAGTTTCATATTATCCTTTTTAAACCTTCTGTATCCACAAGGGAAGTCTTGACACAGTACAGCAAGTAGCAGTATAGCCTAAGAGACAATTACCTGTACATCTACAGATTATTCATGACCTTTTCCCCAAACACTGGATTTATTTTTCTGTATCATTTCTAGATTGCAGGGCATGGAGTTCCTCCCTGTCCCATAGCCATGCCAACTCTCCTTCCTCATTTCCCTCTTGAATGGTATTAAGTCAGCAAGTTAATTTTATAAAACCACTTCAAATGCTGAAAAAGCAGTCACGTAAATGTGAATGAAAGAGGGGCTATTAATGGGGAAGGCTTGAGGCCACAGCCCTGTAGAGAAAGACATTTGAAGTGTGGAAAACATGTCATTTCAAAGATTTGCCTTAAAGAATAAATAATTTAATAAATAATAAATAAATAAATTACTGGATAGCTAGGTGCAATTACACATGATATGGAAGTATAGTGAACTAAGAACTCAGTTATGTCCATCCAGGCTACTCAGAAATGAATGCTCCTGGAGGAGATAACGTTTCTGCAGGATTCTAAGGGATGAATGGGAGTTCATTATGAGAGAAGGGAGAGACAACCATTATAGAGCCTCTGAGTTCAAGGACTGGCTGGAGTTCTAAGAATGGTTAGGAAGTCAGGGAGAATGAAAGGACTATGTGATGGGCCTGATATATTAATAAATGATAATGAACCTTTAGGTCTCATTTCTGTGGCTTGCCTACTTGCCTGCACCCTATAACACACAGCAAATTTTCATTTTTAATCAGTGAAACAACCAGGGAAGGTTGGGAGTAACCCTATAGGTATTCTCAATATTCCTCTATTGGATGCTTTCCAATCTAGATGATTGGAATGAGACAGAAGGACAGTCTAAAGAAAACAAAGAAGACATATATTCCACAGGTTCTCAGCCCAGGTCACCTTGGAACACACCAGTCTCCTGCCCATCCCATCTGGGTGCCTGATGGCTATATTTGAGGATTCATCCAGCATCTTCTATGTCTTTGGTCTTCTTTCACACTATTGGTGCAGCAATTTGCTGCTGGAGAGAGGATTTCCTGCCCAGAACACTAATTAATTTTCCTAGGTGTTGTTGCTATTGGTTTTAATCTCATGCTAGGTAAGGCTAGGGCTCTAAAATTAAATCCAATTTAAATATTATCAATTTCGAATGCAAATACATTGTTGACAAACAAATTAAATGGATAGTTATTTTTAAACTGATCTCTTCTCATAGGCACTTAAGAGGAAGTCAGAAGGCCCTCACACTTTTGATGAATACATGGAAATAGATCACAGCTCATCTCAAGACCATCTTATGCTCCTTCTTGTAGGACACAATGAAATACTATTGAAATCTGGTGTGCCTCTTTTAGACCCTTGTCTGGTGTAACACTTTAAAACAGCACTACTGCAGTATCAAAGAACTTGTTAAAAATGGAAAGTCTTAGAATCTACCAAAGATGTCCCATATTAGAAAAAAAAGACAATTTGTGGTTTAATAAGCCTTGGAGGTGACTCTCTTTACATCTAAGTTTAAGAATAATTGGGTTCCATCCTGATCCTCCTCCATCTACAACTTGATTGGATTGAGAATCATTTAGGAGACTGAGACAAACCTTTGAGCACATCTGTGAGGGTGTTTCCAGAGAGGATTAATTGAGGAGGGAAGATGGGCTCTCAAGGTATGTGGCACCTACCAAGCGTTGGCCCAGATAGAAAGAGGTCCAAGGAAAGAGCAGTGGGGGAATGCCTGCCTTCACCCCCTCTTTCTGGGTAAGCATGCCTCTCACAGCTCTGGGATCCTCTGCTGACTTCAGGCTTCAGCCTTTCATCAGGAACTTCATTCCAGCAACTCTTCAAGGAACCTTTTCAGCTGGATGCCTCAAACCAGTGCTGAGAGCCTGGAGGTTCCTTTAGAGAATGCTGCCAATATACTCCCCATGGGGTGAGAAATCCAAGTCAAAGAGGATGAACCCAAAGTCAGTCTGCTACTATCTATGACCTGTCTGTCTGACCGCACATTGCGTGGGCCAACCAGAGACTCCTTGCCCTTTCTAGACCATGCTCACTTCCAGGACCCATGACCCTAGAACCCCTGCACAACCAACCCTGAGCATCCTAGGGTTGGAAGAGGGGAGGGCTCTTCTGAAGATCTCTGGGGATAAGGCTGTTTGACTGGCTCTCCAACCATCGCCTCAGCCTCCCTTTCATTTTCTTTGTCTTGTTAGTGTTTAAGTCAATTTGAGCCAAGAAATTTAGATCAAAGGCAAATTGTTAAAATCCAATGGATATGCAGTTGAGAGAAATTGCCTCTGCTGGTAGTTGGTGGGGAATGGTAGGCATCAGCTGCATACACCCCCTCAACCCTTCATGCTTGAATTTTATGGAAGATTCTATCTAGCTTCCTGGTTTCCTCTTTCCACTATCCATCCAGTCCCCCACATCAGTGATTCTCAACACTGCGCACACAGCAGACTCTCCTGGGACGCTCTACAAACTCATGCTGCCTGTGTCCCACTTCCAGGGAGCCTCATTTCATTGGCTTAGAGTGCTGTTTGCTCACTGGGCGTTTTCTAAAGCTCCCTAGGAGATCCCATTGTAAAGTCAGAGCTGATGCACAGAAGGAAGGAAAAGTTTGGCAGTGGCTCGGCTGAGTCAATTAAGAGAAATTATCACAAATTAATAGACCTTAGAAAATAAAAAGTACAGATATAGTCACATTCTAAGCAACAAGAAGATATACAGCTTGCAGATTCTTATCTCTACAGCCTCCACCCCCACTGTCTAGATACATTTGATATTTGTGAATTGAAAGCTTTCCTTTTTCACTCTTTACAAACCATTTCACATGTTCTTCATTCAGTGTTAGAGCTGTGGAAGTTTAGTGTTAACAAGTCCAAGGACCATTTACTAACTTTTTTCCAAAGATGTGGGAATGGTTGACCCGAAAGACACACATCCCATGTGCTC